GCTCTCCTTCCTCCTCGCTGCGGACCCCTCCGGCTCCTGGGGGGGCCCCCCGCAGTGGGTGGGAGGACCAGAGAAGGGCTTCCCTGCGTCTCAGGCTGCAAGAACCCTGATCAACATCCCTACCGCGGTGGCAGGAAAGTCGAGAAGGACGCCGACCCGCATCGGGCCAAACGGCAGCCCCAGGCGCAGGGGAGCTCGGGGGCTGCACCGGGCGTCCGGGGCCCCCTTCGCGGGTGGTGACGGCGGGCCCACCAGCGCAGCCGGCCTACAGCAGGAGGCTGGACAGGTGGCATTCAGCACCGCGGCCCGGACAGCGCCCGGCCCAGCTGCCCCGGCCCGCGTCCTGCAAAAGCCGTCCCGCAAAAGCCGTTCCCGCCGCGCTCCTCCCCTTCGCGCTCCCAGTAGCGCCCCAGACCCGGGCCTTACGCTGCATGGTGACTCCAGCCTCGGCGGGTGTCCTCCCCTCAGCAGCGGCCCGGCCCAGCGGAGCCTCGCGCCTGCCTGCCTGCTCCGGGCCAGCTCTCCTCAGCGATCCCGTTCCGAGCCCGCCTCCCTTCCCTCCCTCTCCCTCCACCCTCCCACCCCTTCCTCCCAGCCCCTGCGGCCAACCCCTCCCAGGAACCGTCGGAAAAATAAATAAATAAATAAATAAATAAATAAATAAATAAATAAATAAATAGGGGACAGATGAGACCCCACAGCCTGGATGTAACCTCTTTCCCACCTGCTCCGACCCTGTCACTCCCCACCCAGCCAGGCCCTCCTCCGTCTCCATCCTGTGGTCCCGCGGGGCGGCACAGCTCCAAGAACGACTGCCCACCGCCCTTCTCTGGGAGCCACAGCGCAGGGGGGCGGGAGCAGGACTGGTGCAGCTAGGGAGCTGGGGTCTTTCTGTAGAAGAGTCCAGAGGACCAGCCTGGGAGCCACTGGTGAGCAGGTGCGTGTGGGTGCAGACAAGGGGACCTTGACCTGGGACATCTGTGTCGGACCCCAGCTACACTCTGGCCCCTGCATCTCCCTCTCTTCCCCTGGAAAGTGCGGAGGGTCTGGTGGGGCCCGCCCTCTCAAGGGTCCTCTTGCCCTGTGGTCACTGGGCCACATGGTTGCTCTTCACATACTCTCCTGATAAGGGAGTGGGCTTCCTAAGTCTGTCCTGGGACCCCAAGGACTCTTCGCCCGAGCAGCGCGGCGCAGCGAGCACACAGCTGACAGCACCGCTTCGGGGCCCCGCAGCGGACTCGCTGCTCCAGCGCCCAGGTGGGGATGTGCTGGGGCCCTTGCAGCCACGCCCGTCGGGGTCTCCCGTCTCCCACCACCGCCGTGGCCAAGCCCGGGAAGGCGCGAGGACCTCCGGGTCTCCCGGGCCCGGCGTCCCCGGTGCAGGCACTCGAGCCCCGGCACCCACCTCGGCGTAGGTCCTCCCTCCGCGCCAGCAGCGCCAGCAGCAGGTCTCCGCCCGCCGACTCGCGGCCCGGGCCCAGCTCCCCGCGCGCCTCCATGGGTCCCGTCGCCGGGAGCTGCGGCTCTCGGGTCCCGAACTTTCCCGGGGCCCCAGGCTGGTGTCCGAGTTATTCCCTGCGCTCCTGGGCGCTGCGCCCGCGGGCCGCCCCGGGGGCCCCGAGCCTCAGGCCGCGCGGAGGGCGGAGCGGCCTGGGGGCGGGGCCGCGGCGCGGGGCGGGGCCGGGGTCGCCGGCTCTGCCCGCCTTTGCGCGGGGACTCGGGGTGCCCAGACGCCATCCGAATGCCTGGCCCGAGGAGCGCAGGGACAGTCGGGGGAGGAGCCGGGCCGGGGCTGCCCGCCGGCGCTCACTCGGGCCCGGGCCCGCAGCCTCCTGCTCTGCGCCGAGGGTTGGGGCCTGGGGCCTGGGGCCTGGGGCCTGGGGCCTGGGCTTGGACGTGCACGCGCGGGGAGGTCTGGGTCCCCGGAGGACGGACCAGGAGGGAGCAGCGTCGCACCGCCGCTTGACAGCCGGGCCTAGGAGGCTTAGTGACAACGTCTGGTCGTCTGGTGGGCAAGAATGCGACCCGAAATCCAGAGAGGGTGAGTGTGGCGCCCAAAGGCTCACAGCAAAGCCACTCGGAGGCAGAAGCGACCTCAGACCTCCCAGTTGTGACTGGCTTCTGGGCCCCACCCTGGGGACTGCCACCTGAATGGGCACAGAGAAGGACAATTCTCAGCAGGCACACTCGGCCAGGACATGCAGCCAAGACTCAGGTCAGGAAGGACAGCTGGGAAAGTGGGAGGTCTACTCTCTCACATCCTTCCACTCACCAGCTTGCACAGAATGCAGCTCCCACACCTGATGTTCCAGCGCCTCATCCCCAATCCAAACGGGTAAGCCCATAGGAACCCACCCATGCTCGCTGTGGAGAGGTGCTCCTGCCCAGAAGGCACATAGCACCTGGCTACTGGCCAACACCAACGCCGCCCCCCCCCCCCAATTAAGAAAGAGCCATGTGGGGCTATTGCAGCATGCGGCATGGCGAGGGCAAGGGGCCTCAGGCAGTGAGGGGGCGAGTGGGTTTATGCCGGCCTCCAGGCCTCTCCAGTTGGGATCCCATGGTAAGGGGCAGTCTTCATCCCGCTGCTCATTCTGGCCTCCAGGCGCCTGGTCTGTGCGCTTTAACAGGACGCAAGCCTGGAAGGATGTGGGCCCGAAAGGCGCAGCACCCTCCCAGGTCCCAGCGGACCCAGGCTCCTGGTTTTGAGCAAAGGCGTATGCCACCAGCACTGCACCCTTCCTGCACACTTGTTACCCAGATGACAGGGCACAGGTGCGCAAGCCGGGGGGTTGAGGGGGCACTGGGTGCCCTGGGATGTTGGCTGTGGGGTGTCAGCTGCCGCAGAGGCCTGTCTAGAGAAACCATGTGTGGTTCGAGTGGGGAAGGGGCTGGCGGGCAGCAGGTCCAGGAGGTGGCGGCCCCACACGCTCTGCATCTGGCTGGCCTGCCAACAATGCCTCCATTCTTTCCCAACGTCTTTGACGAGATCGAGTGGCCCTTAGGGAGGGAGGTTCAGGCGGGAGACCCAGCCCGGGGGTCCCGGTGCTGCCCTGTTGGGCAGTGCAGGAGCGCTGAGGGTTGTGGGGTCTCTGGAGGAAGGTGACCCCCCACTCCGCCCTGTCCCTCCCCCCAGCACTGTTCCCAGGGCACTCCACAACCAACTGCCACCTCTGGGGCCACCGCCGGGAACTCCAGGCCCTTTGCCCCTGGGACCTGCCTGACACATCCCTTCCTCCTGTTCCCATCCCTCAGGTGTGCCGCTCCCACCCCCACCCCAGCAACTTCTCCAGACTTCCTTCCCTTGTCTGCTGTCCGGGGTTTCTCCCTGCCCACCGTCCCTGACGCTCCCGTCCTAGCCATTTCTCCCTTGTGGGTCCTCTTGCCCCTGCAGGAGGCCGAGGGGCTGGCGGGGGCCCTTACCCCAAGTCCCATGGAAGGCGCAGATGGCAGCCACCACGGAGGTCCCGGGCTGATCTCGGTCTCAACTGAGCTCGGTTTCCAGCAGCATGACGACCGCCAGGTGGGAGGTGGCGTCCGGGTCTAGGCCGCCCTCCTCTCTCCTCCTCTGCCGCCACAGGCGCCTCCAACAGCGACCCTGTCTACCTGGCCTGGCAGGAGACTCAGGGCCCTGGGGCGCTGTCCTCGGTGCTGAGGGAAGTGAGGTGCTGAGGGAAGTGCTGCGGCCCCCACCCCCTCCCCCTTCGCGGGCCTCTACCCCCCATCCCCCCTCTGCCCACCCCCTACCCTTGCCCCATCCCTACCCCCTCTGCTGACTCTGCCCACCCCATTCCCCCCAGACCACCCCCTTCCTCCCTCCCCTCCTCCCCTCTGCCGACCCCACCCACCACCCTGTTTCCCCAGCCCACTGCCTACCTCCACACCTGCCTAGGTCTGCAGTCCCCAGATCCCCCCTACCCACTTTCCCTCCTCTGACTCCAGTCTGCACCCCCCACCCCCAGTCCCTCAGGCAGCCTCACCCCACCATCCCTCCCCTTGCTGGGGCAGGCAGTTTCCACCACACTGGCCCAAAGACTTGGGGATGGGAAGCAGGTGGGTGCTCCACCCTGCCCTACACACAGCATCCAGGGTCCTGGACTTGGGCGGGTGGCCCCTCCAGCCACACTGGCCTCCAGCCCCGGCCCCCACAAATCTCTGGCTCCAGGTATGGTCAGCACTCACCTGTTGGACTCATAACCTTCCCCACCTTTCCTGCCACAGCCCACCCCCACCCCCAGCAGAAACCACTCAGGACTCCAGGGGTGTGGGGGGTTACCCACCTAGGCCAACCCCAGCACCACAGACCCGGCTGGCACCTCAGGGCCTGCCTGTGCCTCCTCTGAGGGGCGGGTTACCTACCAGCTTGCACACTGTGTGGCTGGGCAGGTGGAATCCACAGGAAGCACAGCCAGCAGATCCCTCAGAAGCTACACAGGGCCAGAGTGCTCACCCCAAACACCCCAGCAAAACAAAAGGTAGAAAGCAGGAGAAAAGGATCAATAGTTCAGAATCCGGGGGGGGGGGGCAAACAGGTGTTGTGCAAAGCCCCAGGTAGGAGGCAATGCTGGGGCATTCAGGCCCTGGGCAGCAGGGAGGCGAACCGTGTCCAGCACCAGGTGGGCTGGGGGCTCCCACCAGCTGGGGTTCCTCAGAGGTCCCCTTCACCAGGGTGCCCCTGGTGCATTGCCAAGTTGTGAGACTCGCATCTGTTCCTGTCACATGTCATTGATCTACCGTGTGACATGAATGAAGGCTGTGGTCCTGTGGCCAGCCCCTGGTCTAGATCAGCCCCAAGAAGATAATCTATAATTGATCTCCCATTTTTCACTTTCCACCTGACCCCTGGGCTGTCTTCCAAAACGTCTCTAGTTTAATTCAAGAAACCCTGGGATTTCAGATGCCCAGTCCACAAACTCTGGAAGGGGAGGAGGGCTCTGTTCTGCACCCCGACCTCTGATCACTGCTAGAACAAACTCACATTTTTAAAAGAATCACAGTCCTTTCCAATGTCAAATTTATTTATTTAAAAAATGTGCACATTATAGTTCATTTAAATACAAAATGTTCACTTTCCTTGCAGGTAAGAAATTTCAGACATTTCCATGTCAATTAGCTTTTTAATCAAAATTCTTCCAGTAAAAATAAATACACATTTAAATTATCGAACTATTCATTAGTCTCAATACTTACAACTTTAGAAAAGAGACCTTAAACCTTGCCTAAAGGTAGTGTACAGTTCTAAGCAGACCATGGGAGGGGTGTGGCCATGTTCACACCTGCACACGAGACACACGTCCGTGGCCACTTTGGCACCACCACCTGTCCCTGACTGCTCGTGGTCTACTGGAAACCTGGCCCCTCAGGGTGTTGGAAGCTTGTCCCCCAAATACTGATGACCTCAGACTGCAATATTATCATGAACCTCGAAGCTGTCATGTGGGTTTTATAGAGGTTCCAGCACACGGTGGTGCTCTGCAACCTCATCCCAGTCCACACCGCAAATGCAAACTTCCTTTAAGGGAGGAAAGCATTCAACACGAACCAGAAGGCAGTTTAATTCATGGTGCTAAGTATTTCCCTTTGGATTCTGTGGGTGAATCTGGCCAGTTTTCAGGATAAAAGGAAACAAGACAGGGTCTCCAGTAACCCAGGTGCACAACCACCGACGAAACACACAGACTTCTGGGGTTAAAAACATGTCAAACAAGAAGAAACCTCTGGTGGCAGAGAAGCCAGAAGTGAAGCAGCTGTGGAGGACCATGCCCCATCCTGTCCCATCCCTGGCCCCCATCCCATCCCTGGCCCGTCCCCATCCTGTCCCCCATCCCATCCTGTCCTCGTCCTGTACCCCGTCCCATCCTTGTCCCTGTCCTGTTCCCTGTCCCCCCCACCCCCGGCAGGAGCTCAAGCTCCTGACAGCTCGCCTGCTGCCCACACACTGGTCCAGCACGTAAGTGTTCTTACACAGAAACGACCATGGTCAGCGGGAGTTCGTAAACATGGAGCACACTAGGCAAGGTGGAAAGACTATTTACAACCATCATAGTGACACAAGCACAGATACCTCTGAGCTTGTGAGACAGTCACAAAGGATCTCCACGAAAATGGCAGTTTGTTCATTTTGTTTATATCTCCAGAGGCAAACTGACATCTAAATGATTTGGGTTTCACAAATAACGTTAAAATCATTAAATGGTAAAAAAATAAAAAAAAAAATATATATATCACAAAAGCCTGGGGGATGGGGGCCCTGTGCCAGGACCCTTCATAAAACAGCTTCAGGGAAATGAAGTTTGGAATTTGGCCTTAAAGGTGCTGGAGACAGCACAGGTCACTCCTATGGGGCTCCTGGGGTATCCCCGGGCATTGCTGTGTCACTGGGCCCCACGTCCTAGCCCCCGGCCTTGCAGCTGCTGGACCACGTGACACAGAGGATGATGGGCTCCTTGGAAGGTCCCCTGGGGACTCGGCTCCCAAGGAGTGGGCCACCCCACACGCCTCCCCTGCGGAGCTCTGCCCTCAATGCCTGGGCAAGGCAGTTTGGGATGGTCCTCGGTCACTTAGGGCTCTCTTCCCACCAGATAAACAAAGACACCGCCTCTGCCACTGTCCTGCCCCCACCACCCCCCTTGGCCTGGTAGGGGTGTTCCTTACAATGCAGCAAAGCCACAAACCCTCCTCTGTCCTTCCTTCCTGTGCCAGACTCTGCATCTGGAGTGCACACAGGTCTTGATGCAGGGGTGGTCCCTTTGGCTTGGAGCTGCTCCAGCACCACGGAGATGCTCTCTTGCTTCAGCTGAAACTGCCAGGCAGCTGAAAAGCACAAACACAGATGATCTCTGAGGACCAGACTGGCTTTGAGGAGCGGCCAGGGTGGGTGAGGCTCTGCTGGGCGAAGCTGGCTGCATGGAACCACCCGGAGCCGCCAGTTCACGGCACGGCTTAGTTGTTCTCCAAATCCCAAGCCAGGCTTGCAGAACGTGTGTCTAGAAACTCAGGATAAAAGCAGGTGGGAAAGAGTCTGTTCGTTTGGCCTGGGCTCCCACTTTTTTTTTTTTTTAAACTTAGAAGAATAAAAATACAGACATCTTTTTGCTGTCGGATCTATAAAGGCGTCCAGGGAATATGCCAGCGGTCAGTCTCAACAAACGTTGGCTTGTCCTCCACAGGAAGACCATTTGTCCAACAAGGCCTTGGAGCCCATGACGCCGATGCATGTGAAACCAGATCTGCTGTGTCTATAAAATCCCTGATCTTAATTATTAAAGCACGGTGGGGCTGTTTTTCCAAAGGTGCTTCTGTGGTCCCACTTGGTTCTACACAGATAGGCGGTGATATCTGACTTTCCATCGCTTGGACCGCACTCGGAAGAAAAAGTACATTAACATTAGAAACAAGGAAGAGGCCACATATAGCACGACGCAGAGGCTCATGTCCAGGCTGGAGAAGCCCATCCCGAGAAAGGGCACAGCCACCTCCACCTCCCTGTGGCCCTCAGCCCTGCTCGCACTCTGGAGTCCCCCATCCAGGCCTAGCTGCAACCCTTGTGACAGGTCGGGTCTGGGAGGCAGCACACTGGGTGGACGGAGACTCTTGGCACGCTGCTCTTCCTGAGGCTTCTCTGGGGAAACGAGGCCTCGCTCTTGCTCCCCGCCCTCAGGTGGGGCACCTCCTTCATGGGCGTCTTCCTGGTCTGCAGCATAGGTATCCACGAGGTTGTCGCTGCCATAGTGCTGCTTCAAGAACAGGAGCACTTGGCCCTCGTTCCAGCTGTGCAGGCCCTTAATCTCCTCGTGGCAGGCTGGGCAGAGGTCCGGGGAGGGCCACGGAACCTTTGGAAACTTGGGGTCCTCACTCAGATGGCCTGGGATGGGGGGAGAGCAACAGTGGAGAGGTGTCTGGTGACCTGACTGCCCCATACCCTGCAGCCACCTCCCTGTCCACCCACCTGCACCATGACCTCCCAATGCTCCCAACTTCATGCCCAGTGCTCCAGCACAGATGCCTGTCCCCCAAGCACCCCATATAAATGTCATTTCTTCCCTGGCACCTCTGGCAGGGCCCCATGGCCACAGCAAAGGATGCTGCCATGCACCCGGCCAGATCCTCCTCCAGCCTGCAGCTACTCTGCTTCCCTGTGACCTCGAGGCCCCAGGTTAATGTGCTCCCGACCTCACAAACCCTAGGAATATCTGGCCCTGGATGTGGCTGTCCACACGAATCCACAGCACTTCACACTTGTGTGGGCCCCTCCCAGACCCCAAAATCCCTCAAGTACCTCTAAAAATTATTCTGGGAGACCTGCCATGACAGGAGAACCGCACTGCCAGAGCGCATCAACACAGCACTCTTCTGCACACTCGAGTGTACTTTTTACAAAACAGAACCGCACAGCACGGTTTCAATTGGACACAGCCCTTGGCCAGCACTACTGCTCCATGTAATAATCTGGTCCCGGCTGCGTGGGTCAGCGCTGCACGTGCAATCAGCACCCCAGGACGGCCAGGGCAACTGTGCAGCGAACACCAGCTCCACACAAACAGAATCAGATTCAGAGCATCCACACATTTAAGGTTTCCCTACTTCCTGCTCGAAGGCTGTCCCCGAAAGCAGTTCAGCCATCACCACCGCTGGCCATCCACATGAGGCCACGGCTGATCCTTCTGTCCCCGTGTGTGCATTCACTCCTCTGGTCCATACCTGTTAATGGAGCACCCAGGCTAGGGAGCACCCAGCTGTACATTCCAGGCAACCAGCATGTGCATACGAGACCCTGAGGCAGGCCATCACCTCCCGGCCCACTCACCCTGCATTGGTGACTTCCTATTTCTCTTCCACAAGGGTGAGTGACAACCCACCTGACCACCCAGCTCTGGGTCTCTGCCATACAGACTCGAGGCCACACAGGTTCCAGGTATAGGAAGTATGGTGCACAGTGCTCCTTGGCTCCCAGAAGAGTCCCCTGACCTGACTTGGGGTGCCCCCCACCTTAACAGTGCTTCTACAAGTAGATGTGGACAAAATCACTGTGGCTGATGGGTATGAAACACTGAAGACGCTCCTGCACCTTGTGGGCTCACAGCCGGGGGAGGTCGGAGAGGTGGGGGGCATTGGAGAATGCAGACCACTGAGGCCCAAGCACCAGGTACCAGGCTGCTGGCGTCTGCACCTGGGGGCGGATGCACATGTGCACACATGCAGGCCAATGAGGAGCTGCCCAAGGCCTAGTGTTAATACCCCACAGATACAGTGAGGTCTAGGGCAGGGCTGCAGGGCCTCCAGGGAATCTGGGCCTCTATCCAGAGGCTGGAGGTGGGACTAGGGGGTGTGTTGGGGGGACGGCCTACAAAACTGAAGGAGGGACATAATTACTTGGGCTGCTGAAAGCCCCTTTCTGCTGCAGCACAAGCACACAGGGGACACAGGGGCTCCCGGGCCAGGACCTGCCCCACAGGGTCTGGTGCAGCTATGCCAGAGCCGAGAGCTGCTGGGATAACCCTGTGGGCTCTGGGGTGTGTGTGGGGGGGGCAGGGGAGTGCCATATACCTGAGGTGGAAGCTGATAGCCACGGACGACCCCGGCAAGCAAAAGTGCCGTGGCCAAGTGAGCTGAGCTGCAGCAGCTCTGAGGGCAAAGAAAAACCAATTTTCTTTAGTGCTTCAGTTGTAATATGTTTCATAATACAGTGGATTAAATAAAAACCAATAGTTTAGTGGTTTTTTCCTACTCATCTCTATTAAGATTTATCCGTCAGCAGAATTATTTTTAAGCCTAATTTCAATCTGCCGGTGATTTAGGAGGAGTTTGAATTAACTCTGAGGCGATACACGCGCCCTATTTAGTTTGAAACAAAACTACTCCATGGGGTTTGGTTTATGAGAGCAGATCGCAGTGCCACAAACTCCTCACGGGAGCCTGATTCTACCCTAGTCTTCTGCTGTCAAATTTCCACGGGGGCCCAGGAGGTTCCCCCAGGGGGAAGAGGTGCCTGAAGTGGAGAACAGTCTGGAAAGCCAGGGACATTGGTGGCCTAGAGTGGCTGCCATTCTTGGCAATCCTCCAGGCAGCCAGCGTGGTAGCAATGGTCAGGTGCCATTCCCACTGCCTGCAGGACTCGTGGATGGGTGCCCGTCTACACGGCTTCACTGTCTCTGTGCTAGCCCCTCTGTACCCAAGCTTGGCCACCCCAATGCTCACCTGCCAGGCGGTTGTTTACTAAGTTATGTTTCTTCCAAAGCCAGAGAATTGCTTGGTCTGAGGTTTTCACGGAGTCCATGGATTCCTTAGCCATTTCCTCAAAATGCTCACTGCACTCCTTACAGCCAAAGAAGGTATGAATGTACCTCCTTATGGTCTGCAGCACCGCCTGGGGGTCATCCTCAAAACCTAGAGGGTCAGAGGACAAAGCGTTGACACAGTGGGAGTGTGTCTGAAGGCTTCTGCTGGAACCCAGGGCTCAGGCTGGCATGGGGAGCCTGAGCAGGCCAGGTGCCTGACCGGGAACCCTCAGAAGCCTGCCTGTCTGCACGGGAAGGACAAAGGGAGGAAGCAGCATGTCCCAGACTTCTACTGCATCCAGAAGGAGTGGCACCATGCGTCTGGGGAGCAGACCCATCGCCAGTGTCTGGGTGTAGCACGCACTCCAGGGTGTGCACAGGGGCCTGGGAAAATCAGCTAGATGCAGTGAGACACAGGGCTCCTTCCAGAGAACAGGAGGGCAGCCGCCGGCAAGGACCTGCACCCCTCTGAAAAGGCTAGCCCTCTTCATGAGTGGCAACTCCAGCCTTGCCCAGCCACATGGACCACATGCCCCATACGTGAGCACAGGTACTGCCAGGACACGCTGACTGCGTGAAAGCACTGCAAATGAGGAAACATGATCTTTCAAGAAAATGGTCCCTGATGGCAGAAGGAAGCAGCTAGCATCTCACTAAAACAAGGACCCCTGAGAAAGCAAAAGGGGGGTGGGGACAGGGCTGGCAACAGCAGCTCCCTTCAGACAGCTAATGCGGGGGATTGAGCCAACAAGCGAGAGACTGTGAGATTAAGCAGATTAAATGTCAGCATTAAAAGAAACACAGCAAAATAATTGGAAAAAAAAAGATGTGCTTTTGAGACTGAATCCGTCTTAATCAAGAGCAGGCCCTCGAGGGTGATCTCTTTCTTTGCCACTAGCTGTGGCTCCACTGGTGGAGGGCCAGGACCCTGCATCTGTCGCCGACTTCAATGGGCCTCACCGGGGTTGCCAGAAATTCCAACTGAGCAGCCAGCCACGGTCTCCTCAGCTTGGTGTGTCTCAGAGGTGGTGGGTGGCAAGGGTCCACAGACACACAGCGAGGACATGCGGCTGACCCTCCTCAGTTCTGCTCCCTGCCCTCCTCTCCCTGCCGCCAGCTGCCATGCATCCCTGGGTAATCCTCCTTTTCTCTCCCCACCAAACCACTGCACGCCCGGCCACCCTAATCTTTAGAGTGGACAAGAACCATAAACCCTACCTGTGGGGGATTAGAGGACGCGGCGGCTTTTTAGTAGATGGGGTTTAAACACCCGCTAAGGAGAGGAAAAACCTTCCAAGACCTAATCCGGCGGTGTCCATCTGACCCAGTTCTCTGGGCATGAGACGCACTCCTCAGATATGGCTCCAGCCTCAGCCCCGAAGACCTTCCTAATGGCGTGCCCTGTTGCTCAGCTGCTGTTCTGCCCCGTGCCACGAGCCCCTGCAGAGCCCCCGGCAGCCCCTCAGCAAAGTGTGCCTCCCACATCCCTCCACAAGGCCCCGAGAGATGGACATCAGTGTCACCCTGAGGAGAGCCAGGGTGGTGAAGATGTCCATAGACAGCACATGGTGCCCACAGCGTGCTTTCATTGCTTCCCCCAGCGCCAGGTGGACACCCTGTCCTCACCAGGGATCCAAGCCGGACAAGGACCATTTGACCAACAGGCTGTGACACAAGGGACACCCTGCGCTGGCTGTCCCAGCCCCAAGGTCCTTCCTGAATGTGGGGCTGTAGGGAGCTGGGATGGCCCTATAGGCGTCGCACCTCCTGAGTCTCTGGCCACCCAGCAGGCCGCACTCACTTAATCTGAACACATAAAACCGTGGTTCTTTTAAGCCGAGCATTTGGTTTGGTTTGTTACAAAGCAAGAGATACTGCAGATTTCAGTCTCACTGGAAAGGATGATGGAGTGTGAGAGTCCCAGCCCTTAGGCAGTAGAAGCATCCCCGTAGCTGCCTGACTGATGCAGTGGCTAAAAGGCAGGCGATCCACCCACCACAGACAGAGGCCAGCTTCATGGGGGGGAAGCATGCATACAACCGAGTCCAAAGTGGATAAAAACCCAGCAACGGTCTTCACTGCTTGGGTAGGACACAAAACATGATGATTCTGGTTTAATGATTTCCTGATCATTAAAACTGCTAAAGCTAACTTATGCTTCTGTAGCTTTTAACCTCCTGGGCAGGCAGCCTCTGAGATGGCCCAGGGTCACAGCTCAGCTGGCTCAGCCCCTCCTCCAGGCTGGGTGGGCCGCGCAGAAGCGGCCAACACCACACTGGGGATGGTGCCCTCTCTGTGGCTTGCCCATGAAGCCAGCTGCCACACTGAGAGCCAGGAAAGCCCTGATCCCATGAGTGAGCAGGAGAGGGTCTCTTCCCCACAAAGATCCCCGATGAGATGCCAGCCTGCAGGCTCATGAGGTCTGTAGCTGGGGACCCTGATCCAGCTACACCTGGGTTCCTAGCCTACAGACACTCTGACATAATACTAAGCCATGGGGTTCTTTGTTATGCAACAACAGGTAACAAACACACATTTCCAAGTACGCTTCACTCATGTTCAGGCTTTTGATAAAAGCAGGTGTTACCCTGCAGATTCCTGGCTGTGTGCACTCATTCCTGCACATCAGCCATGCACAGGTGGGTGAGCTCTGAAGTGCCTAGGGCCTGCAGAGGAGTGCACCAAACACCTGAAAAGATGCTCCCTCCACACTCCTTAGCATGGGAACCTTTGGCAGCCCTGAGGACATGTCCCCTCACCTACAGCTTCTTACGTGCCCCGGGCCCCCGTGGGGACAGTTTACCTGTGCCGTCCAGTGCCTCTGGATGGGTCCCAGCTCGAACAGTCAAAGTGTGGAATAATTTCCAGAGAGAACAGGTGTAACCCCTGAACTCTGGTCGGCTTCCTTGACATCCAACCCACTTTATGCGATTAATAAGAAATATTCCAGAAATCTGCCAGGGGGTGGGAGGAGAAGAGATCAATAAATTGTTAAAATCATAATAGTTGATGATAAATGTTCTCTGGGTGCTCGTTACAGAGTGTACATTTATCAAAACTTTGTCAACTGTACATCTCACTATGTGTGTATATAACTGAATACCAAACAAATGAGAGAACAGTCTCCACTTTACTAAAGGAATTCTCAAAATAGGGGGACGTGGCCCAGGCCTTTCCGTCCCCCAGAGAGGGGGGTTCGTGTGTGTCTGGACGAAAGAGCTTTATTAAGGGATCAGGATCGTGTGTTAGAGTCCATTAAACCAGCACTGCTGGGGAAGGCTAATAGTAGAAAACCTCAACTGTCCAGTGAGTGTCCACCAGAGCAAGCATGGACTATGACTGCACGGGCAGGAAGCCAAGGCCCTAACAGCTCGGGAGCCACGTGCCTGCAGCCAAGCACAAGCTCCCAACACTCAGCCCATGTCCACACCCTGTGTCTCCCAGCCAGTGGGCACAGGGCTTGTCCCTGGGGCCCAAGTATGCAGCTCGTACAGGGAATGGGCATGCAGAACAGACCCTATACCCAAGGACCCTGTGCTGGCCTCCAGCTCGGGTGGAGGTCAGGGGGAGGTCAAGGCAAGCACTCAGCAGTGGTCTCTATGCTGCTGGTGCAACACGATGTCTGTGAGGGCACCTGATGTGGACTCCCGCGGGCATGCTTACTGCCCACAGAATCAGCCTGACCAGGGAGCCACTGGGTTTGCTTCAAGTCACTAACACCTCTGGGTGCCCATAGGGGACACGTCGAGCATGGGTGGAAGGGAGGAAACCCTCACCTGCTGGCAGCTGGCCTGGTGGCAGCTCTGGCAGGGCCTCCATGCTTCTCATGGAGCACATTGCTTTATTAGCCTTTTTAGTATAACATTCATAAGTTTATGAAAAATTTAACACAAAAGCCCTCGTGCCACACTGCCTGAGAAAGCTGCCCATCCTGTCACAGCAAATAGGGGCAGTAAAATCCACAGGGCGCACCTTAGAGGGACCCAGGCAGCTCCTGCCATGAGGTGTGTGTTGGGATGACAGGCCAGGGCGGAAGGCCACATGTGTGTAGCTTCCCTCTTTCCCAGGGGCTGGGGCTGGGTCCCCAAGCAGGGAGGACACGGACCACAGGGGCTGGGTGTGCCGTGAGTTCTGGCAGGAGTGCTGGGCTCACCCGCATCTTGTTGTTGACGAGGTCGAGGATGGCGTTGTAGGGGATCCTGTCGAGGGGGAGGTTGGCCAGCCACTCCTGCAGTGTCTCCAGTAGCTTTCTGACCGGTGCGCGGCCGGGGAACAGCTAAGCAAGGAAGGACTGCACTTAAGACGCCATCCCTTGGGACCAAAGCCAGGTGGGGTTGGCCTGACCTGGACCCACTGGGTCAGCTGGGAGAGGTCTTAGGGGTCTCACCTAGGACTGGGCTGGGGCGCTCTCCAGAGCACAGAGCAGGGGGGTGGGAGGAGCTGCAGGCAGGCTTCCGGCCAACGGCTTCCCAGCTCGGCGCCCCAGCCCACAACTGCTTCACAGTGACAGACGACACGGCCACAATGTGCCTTATTCGTCACATTGTCAAGGACTCTGCGGTCCTTTCTGAAAGCGCTATCTGCTTAGGAATTCCGTGCCTCCCGTGAATGCGTGCCCATCCCGCCTGCTGCCCTTAGTGCTCCCTCTGCCGCCCCTTTGCTGTCTAACTGCAGAACTATGTGAAAAACGCACGTCCCACTGAGGCTTTCATGCGAAAGTGTGCAACCTGCTGGTTAACTATACGTCTGCCAGCTGCACAGCTGCGGCCCTCACAGCCCAGAGAAGCACCCATTCGGCAACCTCAGGGGATGCGGCCCTTCCCAGAGGGACTTGGACTTGATGTAGCCTGTTAAATATGCAAAATGAAGTCCACCCAGAGCTCAGAGGGCTGAAGGAGGCCTGCTGTGGCAGGGACAGCCCAGCTCAAATCGTAGAACCCCAGGCCCGCACGGGTCACAAAGAGCCGCTACTGACTTGCCAGCATCTAACCTCGACTTGCAGCCAAGCTTCAGAAAAACTACTAAGAATAATTTATGGCCGCCTTGACCTACAAAGCTCTATGCCTAATGGAGGTAAAGGACAAGGACCCGAGCATGGGGAGTGCAGAGGGAGCAAGGACCACACAACGGGATGCACGTCGGTCTACACAACCTCCCTTTCTTCCCCAGAAACACATCATGGGTCTCATGACTCCACTGCAGGCTCAGCTTCCTTCCTTCCATTTCAAAAGTCATAGAATGAGCGTTCAACACACTATTCAAGTGAACAGGAATCATTCTGTCAGATACCTTACCTGAGCAAAAAACACCCTTTATTTATTTCTAAAGATACTATTTTTAAATAAATTCTACATTCAGTGCAGGCCTTGAACCCACAACCCTGAGACCCAGAGTCTTAGATTCCACCAACAGAGCCAGCCAGATGCCTCAAGAGAAGTCCTTGAAAACTGAGCTTCTGTAACTTCTTGACAACGGGCACGGCTGTGGTGCCTGACACAGGGACAAAGGCCTCTGTCCTCAGGCCACTGTGACTGAGGCCTTCCCTGAGGTGAGAGCACAGAGGGGCCCCAGGCGCTCCTTGGGGAAGAGTGATAACCTGCTTCCTACTGCTGTAGCCCAAGGAAACAGGAGGCCTCGGATTCTTGGCCCTAGAGCTAAGAGCTCCTGGGAAAGGTGACCCGATGGCCACTTCCCAACTGATGCTCATGCACCACCGGTGATGGTCCCCGCCCACGGGCCACAGTCTGCACATGGATGGCTGATAAGCGGCTGCCGCTGCTGCCCTGCCCACACACCTCTTCCCACCCTTTGCAAGTGTCCTCTTTCAGACATGTCATAGTCCCAGCCCTGCCTTGACACCTTGTGCTGGTGTCTTCCTAGGCCTGTTGTCTCGGGGTCACCAGGCCAGCAGTGATCTGCGCTCTGTTACATCCCCGGGGCTCAGAACCAAGTGAACGCCCAGCAGGCACGTGGTGAGCAGGGGCTGCACAAAGGCCAGTACGGGCCTGGGCAGCTGGAAGACAGAGCTGTCATCCACCTGAGGTCGGGGTCCTTCCCTGCGGAGCCCCAAGGGCGCCCTCGAGCGCAGCCCCCATCCCCTGGCACCCCACTCGTCACAGCCTGGCTCAGACGCTGCACACCTTGGCGAGGACAGTGACGAAGTCCTTGAGTGTTTGTAGCTCGGCCCCCGCCAGGGACCTGTGAGTGGCCAGCTCTACCCTCAGCAGGTAGTGTAGCCCGGACTCAAGATCCGCAGTGTACAGCTTCGACCTGAGGGCAAATACCATGAAGTCAGCTGGGAACACACCCTTGCCTGGCTCCCACCTGGAGAGACCCCCACTCCCCACAAGGTGACACCATCAACTCTAGAATAGCCCAAGGCTCAGGGGTCTGTGTGTGTGTGTGTGTGTGAGAGAGAGAGAGAGAGAGAGAGAGAATCCCACCTGCAAAGGGGCTGTAAGCCACCCAAGCACGCAGCCACGCCCCTGGGCAGCTCAGGACCAAAAGGAATACCTGCCTGTCAAATTCTCTCCAAATGACAACTTCAGGATTTTCTTCTTTGTTGGGCTTTTCAGGCAACGAAATCAATTTTTTCCTCACATCCGGCAACGACTTCAAATAAGAGGAAAAAAACGATCGGAGGGGCTTCCCGCTGCGAGAAAGGGGCCAGTGAGGGCACAGGCCAGGGTGCCCCCAGAGGCCCAGCCCCTCTGCAGGGGTTTGAGCAATGTGCCTGTCACCAGGCACCCATGTCCTCCACAACTGAGGGAGTTTGTCCAGACTCCCAGCCCACCCACTCATTGGGGACTTGCTGCAAGGGTTATGGGTAGAAAAGCTGGATGCTGGCAGTACAGGTGTTGGGGGGCTGGCCCTCCACCTGAGAAGGTAAGACGAAGCCACAAATAACCCAGTCAGAGCTGCGGTAAGTACTAGGACTCATTTTTGCTCAGTGGGGACGTTGAGATGTTTTGTAAAGCTGGTATGAGCATCAGCCAGAAACATTACACCAACTGGGGTTTGCAGCACACCCAGGAGCCCTCGTTGCAGTCTGCCAGCCCTGAGGGACACCAGGTGGTCAGGGCTGTGGGGACCCTGGACTGGATAGAGAGGAGCATGCACTCTGAGGATGTGTAAGGCCGCTACCGAGCACCTCCAAACGGGCTCAGGGCTCACCGCCATCCAGGGCTCATTCTCATTCCCAAAGCAACAATGGTGAAGAGGTGGTACAGGTGTTGCTTTTAATATAAAAGGAGCATTTTTCCTTAAAACAAAATGGCATTTGGTTCAGGGAAACTCCGCTGAGAGTAACACCTGCTGTCACAGTGGCGCTGGATGCCTCTGCCGCTGGGCCAGGGCAGGGCACGCAGGCCCAGGGCTTGGGAGTGTCCAACAAGCTCACTTGTAGAGCATGACATGAGTGGCCCAACCCACAGAGGTTGCCATGCCTACCCTGTTCTTTTTTTAAATATTTTATTTATTTATTAATGAGAGACACAGAGACAGAGACAGAGAGAGAGAGAGAGAGAGAGAGAGGGAGGCAGAGACACAGGCAGAGGGAGAAGCAAGCTCCATGCAGGGAGCCTGACGTGGGACTTGATCCCGGGTTTCCAGGATCAGGCCCTGGATCGAAGGCGATGCTAAACTACTAAGCCACCCGGGATGCCCTGACTTCTGGTTCTTAAGGGACTGGGGCATGTCTGAGGCTCTGGGGAGGCCACTTCTCAGCTGAGCCAGGAGCCCGGGGATGGAGGAAGTGTGTCCTGGCTGGGCTGTGTCCCAGTACTTGGAGACTCACCAAGAGCAGCCTAGGCAGTGCTGGCTAAGTGGACACCTGCGGGCCAGCAGTCTGGGTGGGTGCCCCTGGGGGTAGACAGGTCTTCCACACCTACAGGAGGCTGGGGCCATGGCAGACACCACAGGCCTCAGGATCCTGTCTCACCTTCTTACCTGTGACCCTTCCCAACTTTGCTTCAGGTTGTTCACTTTTTAGCAGCACCCGGTGCACGCTGACCGTATCCAGGTGGGCTCTGTGGTCGGGCCCAGGGGAGGCTTCCACACTTGGAGGGGTTCCCCAGATCCAAATACTCCTGAAGCCAAATTATACTTACATGTTCATTAATCCACGTGTCCCATTTGGGTAAATTAAGTAACACGAAGGAAGGGAAGAAACACCCAGTTTCTCCAGGAAGGCCTCGTCCGCGTCCAGCACTCTCTTTACCACAATGTTCTCGTACGGAAGCAGGTCTAAGATCACCTGGGGAAGAAGAAAAGAAATGTCACCTAAACTGCAGATGGCCGGGTCTCAGGAAACATCACCTTGATGAAGTGCAAGGCAGCGTGGGCACAGAAATGAGAAACATCATGTGGAATACATCTGTGTCCACCTCCTCTCTGAGCCAGACCGACACTCCCATCTTCACTGTCACTGCACTCTCAGACAACTAAATGAGACGTGTGCAGGCCAGCATGGCAAGCTTGCTCAGCAGGCTTACAGAGCACTGAAGAAAGTGTGTATCCATAAACCGGTTCTGAGCCTCCTAAGCCAGACAAGCGCAGGCACCACCACTCATGTACATAGGGCTGTCTATGACCCTGGCCCTGAGCCTGCCCTAACACATGTGGCACATGCCCTGCTTGTGGAAGGCTAACAGTATCCCCTGGACAGCAACACAGCCCTGGCCAGCCAACTGAAGGCCCGCAGGCTGGGGGCCAGCTGAGCCTTCCCTCAAGCTGGCCCTGTCCAGGCTGAAGGGACGCAATGAAGGATACACAGCAATGGCATCTCAGGACCTAGAACAGTGAAACAGACCCTGGCATGCAATCAGGTGCAGAACCTGCACCTCTTGACTTCTTTCCTCAACAGAATCAGCGTATCTTGAACCAGGGGCGTTGCTGAAAGTGTGCACCATGTACTCCAGTGCGCCAGCCACCGGACTCCCGCAAACTGAATGCATGGGCTGGAGTGACCGCACTCGAGCCCCGCCACAGAGCGCCCCTAGGAAATACTGCAGCCACCTGCCCTGGGGAGCAGTCCCTGCTCAGATCTGTGTGTGCAAGTGAGAGGGGCAGCCTGGGGACAGTCTGGGGGGTGTCACGTGAGAATGCTGGGTCCCGTGGCTAGGGGCTCCTCTAGCCCCGCACTGAGAATCCCGATCAGCCATGGATAGGTGGGATGATGTCACTACCAAACTTGGAGGGCACAGGGAGACGCAGTGTGGTGGTCAGATCGCTAACATGTGTGGCCTTTGCCTGCGTACGTAGCAACGAGAGCTCCTGCCAGCAGCATATGACTCCCACCTCGGCTCCCAGAGCTCACAGAGGAGGGGAATAGAGCCAGCAGGCAGGCAGAATGGTGAGTGGGGAGGAGCAGGGGTGGGCATGAGCATGGGGGTGCAGCCCCATGGGCAGGCACTTCCTCCCACCTATGAGGGGAGTCCTGTCATCCGTGCTGATGTCTGGTACCAGAGGCAGAGGCTTCAGACCCCCACGTGTGAAACGAGAGTAGAGTATCATTCCACTGAAGAAACAATGTTTTACAGAACCTTGGATTTGGCAAAAAAGTTGAGCGTTCCCAATACAGCCAAGAAAAAAATCTTGATGGTGATGCCGACGTGTAAGAAATGAAGAAGGCAATGTGCCCTAAAAGCCAGGTCTGGGGGGCCCCCTCTCGGCCGCACATCGAGGATGAGGCCACAAGCCTGCCTGCTTCACCCCCAAGGCCCTTCTCACAGTCTTCTCTGCGAACCGGCTGATCTGCTGAGTGACACCATTACATTCCAAGAACTAATGAGCGAAACCCAGGAACGCCTCTGATCAGGAGGAAGCAGTCATTCCCACAGAGGAGCCCAATCACAGCATGCAGGTAGAGGGGGAAAGACAAGACACGGTACCTCACGTCCGACGTAAGAGCTGTTGTTTTCAAACAGGATGGCCACATAACGGCCATCACGGTTGTCCATGAGAGAAAGGACGTCACTGGGCCTTTCAAGAGAGACAAAGAGGCATTTAGGGCTCCCAAGAACAGCGAGCTGGCCATCATACACGGGCTTCCATATCACTGAACGCATATCTGAATGTTACAAAATTTAATTTAATTCCTAACATTCCCCCATTTTTACACTACGCACGGAATAGGGCCCAGGGGCGGGCAAGCCGGGGGCCTGTCTGCGTCTGTGTGATTCTGCAGGAAGTCGATCATTGTCCGCCTCACGGTCTGCAGCTCCCGGTCAGGCCCTGTGGGGAGGTATGCCGCTATCACAGCCACATCTGCCCCCCCACCCCACAGTGCCTCCGCTCAGAGCCCTGGAGGGCAAGGCCTAAGCATGGGGAGGGCCCATCGATGACCGTCTATCGAGGTGGGTACGCATGACCAGAGACCACAGGGTAACTAGCGTGGAACAAATGGGCACAGGAGCCAATCTCACAAACACAGTGTGGAGATGCAGGCCAGGGATGCCTTGGTGCCATCTCCGCCAAGTTCAAAACAGGCCCAGTGACCTGTGATGGAGAACCGCCACCACTGTGGACTGGCCTGGGCACTGGCTGCCCGGGGGGCTCTCTCATAAAATTCAGGTGAGCATGTGATTTGTGCCACTTCTCTGAATATTTTTTTGAGTAAAAGAGTTTACTTAAAAAAAGAAAAAGATTTCAACATGATATTTGCCAAGGAAGGCACGACACAAAATAAAAGCCATCACCGAAATTATGGGTGTTTAAAAACTCCTTAAGGAAAGGCAGGTTCGCTGAAGCTGGTGTGGAGCACGCAGACCCCATCACGTGGGGTCTCTGGGCTCTCGCATAAATCCTTGCTTTAACGAATTTATGAGGCAACTCTGACAGAAACATACAAAGCTCATGTCCTTACCTTTATTTTTTTATTTTTTTTTAAATTTTATTTATTCATGAGAGACACACAGAGAGAGGTAGAGACACAGGCAGAGGAAGAAGCAGGCTCCATGCAGGGAGCCCGACATGGGACTCGATCCGTGGTTTCCAGGATCAGGCCCTGGGCTGAAGGCAGGTGCTAAACTGCTGAGCCACCCAGGGATCCCTTCATGTCCTTACCTTTAAAATTTTCTCCAGTGGTAAAGTCCTTGGTGAATGCCTTGAAATACTACGAGGAAAGACACGGGACAAGTAAGCAGCAGCCTGACCTGGGGTCTGGGCAAACATTTCATCTTTAACCTGACCAGAAAGCTTATGTTCACTGATGACGAGCTACCCGCTTCTAGGCACGTCTGCGGACATGTGCGTTCCCGAGCAGACTCCCCATGAGTGCTCAGTACCAACTGGGGCTCTGTCCCCAGCAGGGCTAGAAGTCAGACAGTGCGGCAGGCGCTTTCCCTAGCCCCCAGCACCCATATGCATCCTAGTGGGTGGCTTGGGCTCAAGCGACATATAGGGAGGGTGACAGGTACTACAGAGCATCTTGGAGCAGAATAAAGCATTAAAATAAATCTCTTCTAGCGAAGAAATGCCAAGATGGAGAGCTGCAAACCAAGTGAAGAGACTCTCAGTTCTCACAACTGAAAGGTCAGTGTGGAGAACACATGCAGGGCTCCTGTGAGTCAGGAAAAAACCTGCAACTACCCAAGAGCAAAGGGGCAAACAGTAGGAGCAAACAGGGTGATGCAGGGCTGGTGAACAGAAGACGTGGCCACGATCACACGCGTGGGGAGCAGAAGGGGTGTCCTTAGGGAACCGAAGCCACACCCAAGGGTGCGGGGTGCTTGTGGTAACCCTTGCTCATCAGGAGAGAGGAAGCCCAGCTCGCACAGCATCCTATATGTGCGGCTAAAACAAAATACAACTCTGACAAGAAGGCAGACAGCAAGCAAAACTCCAGAGAAGTGTCACTTGCAGGTGGAGGCGTGGCCGCCACAAAGCCTAGCTGGTGAGCAAAGGGAAAGCATCAGGCCCCGAGCCACACACAGCACAGGTGTCAGGACTGGAAGACTGGGGCCCTCCGAGCTTCCTCAGAGGCTTTCTAGGATGTAAATACCGTCCTGAAGCATTCGTGGGCCCACATGGACCACACATACACGTGCGCACACACACACGGGCACAGACCCTTCATGCGCCTCTTCAGAAGTTTCTCAACAGATCTGTTTATTCTCTGCCCCCAGTGGAAGAAAAGGGTCAAACCCGCATGCGGGGCCACCCTCAGGCCACCCACCAGGTGTCCCTCTGGCAACCCAACCTGCCATATACACAGTACGTGGAGGGGGCCCAGCCTGACATGGGTCACACACACACAGGAGCAGGGAGGAGAGACCCCCACCCCCGGGGCTGGCCCACGCCCACTGGGTCTGCATACTGCAGACCTCCCCGTCTTCTGCTCCTGCTGTGGAGTGGGTATGAGTGGGGGGTTGGGTGTGCATGTACAACACCCCCCAACAACATGGACAACCCAAGAGGGCGGAACAGGAGGATGTGCAGACACATCCTGCCAAGTTTGGGTTGCATGCCCCTATGTGCCCAAGCATAGGAGTCACACACAATGCCGCAGGAAGGTGTCCCTCGGGTGGAAGGGAGGATAGGAGAAGGGAGAAGAGAAGGAGGGAGAAGGGGGGGCGGGGGGGGTGCTTACCCGGAAACTGGGGTAGAAGTGGATGTCGTAGGCTCGGCATACTTCATGGTTCTCCTCCTCCGCACAGTCCAGGGCAGCAACGCGGATGGCTGCAGCCCAGTCTGAAAAGTGGGAGTGCGACTTTCAGGGTGGGGCTGGGCCTGCGCCCCCCATGGGACATCGATCAAGTACCCGCATGCACAGAACATTCCTGTGTTGGGCTGGGAGAGAGGGATGAAGCCCCCATGGGATGAGGGGTTTCCCATCGCAACCACATGGCAAACAGACCTCTGCTGAATGTGCTGGCCACCACAGGCCTCCCACCAGGGCCAGGAGAGTGCCTGCAGACGAGGGACCCTGCAGGCCCGTTGAGAGAGAACGGTCCCCAGCACTCGCGCAAACAAGAACCAGCGCTGCAGCGTTGGAGCAGCGGTCCTTCCAGGAAGCAGTTCCTACCTCCCCTGGACGCCTCCCACAGACCCCCTGAATGCTGGCACCTGTCCTGGGAGTAGAACAGGAAAAGGTTTAAATATATACTCTGCCTATCTTTGAAGGTTTTCTTATGGGAATGTCACCACATGTGAATACCACAGAGGTCACACCAGCTCTGGCCAGGCCGCTCGCTCCCTCCAAGCTCCCATCCACTTCTGGAACCATCCCATCATCAGGTCACAGCCAGCAGTGGCTGTAGTCACACCAAGTCACATGGAAACACTCTCTACTCAGGGCTCACATCTCCCCACGTTTCTCTGGTCGGGAGACCATGACCCTGTCAGGTCATCTACTGCTCTGCGATCCCCGGTACTTCCTGTCAAAGACCCTGGATCCTTCATCCGGTGGCCTCCCAGCACCAGGGCTGTGCTGACGACACCCCCACCCCTGATCCTGTACCTACATGGAGACTGGAGTCTGATCCTCCGGGGAAGTGGCTTCCCAGGTGGTGGTGTGCACTTCCACGAGGAGGTGGGTGACCCCTGGCTCCCTCCCTTCTCAGTGACAGCCACCAGGAAGACACAAACTCCAGATGGGCGGCTGGTCGTCCCTGCTTCGCATATGGTCGGGGCCCCTCTGTACAGAGGAACCCAGCTCATGGCAACCCTGAGGCTCAGAGCACACAGGAAGGGAAGTGCTTGGCTCGATCCTGTGGTTGCCAGTCTCAAAGCATGGCTTCCTGAATATCCTCCAAAAAGTGAGGTTCTCTCTTTACAAGATTTGATCCCTTTCCCTAGGATGTTAGGGTTATATGTGCAAACAGCTCCCGGCTCCTTAGGGGACAGCCTGAGGAAGCAGGACAGGAGCACGGCAGTCTGCAGACACACAGCAGCAGAGTACTCACAGCATGAGAAGCAACCAGGTGTGGCCCAGTGGAGGCAGGTGGGGCATCAGGTGCTGACACCTCACAGAGACCTGGAGGAACCGGGCCACCCGAGGGATGGGCAGGTCCCTCCTGGGCTCCCAAGCATGTCACTGCCCCTGAGAGGCTCTGTGCTGCCGTGCATCCTGACAGGACACCACGGGTTTAAACCAGTAATCTGGTTGAAAATCACATCATAAACGTTTTCTCTGCATACTGGCTATGATCTCGAACTTCAGAGGTTACATTAAAAACATGCCTGGAAGGAGAGAAGACACCGGTCATGACGAGATCCCCAACACAAGGGCTCCTGTACGTTGCCAATTCCATAGATGCCAGTTTTCCATCTAACTCACTACTTGTGCTAAAAAATATTCCCCTTTTTCCTCTGCCCTTACACATTTACCAGTTATTAAAATTCGAAGAATCAAGTGAAAAAAAGCCACAGCTGATTTTCACCCCCAAAAACCAGTACAGTTCCACTCATGTTGCTCCCCTGAAACCAATTCGTATCCTGGGACCATTTCAGATGTCTCAAAACAAGAATCACAGAACCTTCCTGAACCACAGGTCACATCTTCCCGGAGTCTCGAATTACATGGAACTAAGGAAGAACAGTTAATACTCTCATCCAATTAGTGTAGCAGATGGCCCAGAGCGTGGAGCTCAGCACGGTGCCAGTGGCGCCCTCCATTGCATGTGGCCCCCTCCAAGGCAGCAGCCCCCCAACCTCTATAAGGCACCTTCCACTGCAGTGGCCCCCACCCTGCACACGGCCCCCTCCACCACAGTGCCCCCACCCTGCACATGGCCCACTCCAAGGTAGCAGCCCCCCAGCCTCCATAAGGCACCTTCCACTGCAGTGGCCCCCACCCTGCACGTCTCCCTCCACCGCGGTGGCCCCTACCCTGCACATGGCTCCCTCCACTGCAATGGCCCCCACCCTGCACACGGCCCCCTCCAAGGTAGGGGCCCCCCACCCTGTATACAGCACCCCCCATGGCAGTTCCCACTGCCCTGCCGGGGGAGCCTTCTCCAGCCTGTCATCCTCGCTTCTCTTCCCATTCATCTTGCAAAGTGCCTCCTCTTTGCTACATTGTCCCTGCCTCACAAACACAGGATTTCACCATTTACTGGGAATTTCCACGACATGCTGTCATTTCATGCTTTAAAAGAAAAAAAAAAAAAAAGCACCCACAGCCCAAAAAAAGTACGTAAGAAAATGAAAAACTGCCCCAAGGGCTGACACTGAGCATCCACTAGAATCCTGATGAATAATCAAGCCAGATCAGAAACAGCGGGGGGGGGGGGGGGGGGACCAAACCAGAAAGAATGCACTCTGAGACGTTCACTATGGTTTGGTTTTCACGGTAGGATTTGGTCTGACTTCCTAGTTTTCCTATTTTTTCTGAATAAGTGTGTCTTATGTATAGAAGCAAATGCACGCCATAATCCCAGGGTGGACACTGCGCTGTGCATGTGTGTCCTGCAGGCTCCTTGCTCTGTTTCCCAGTTTCTACCTTCCTGGAGTTCCTGGTGTAAAGAGACTCCAAACAGCACCTCACACAACAGACTCCGTGGGTCAGGACACGGCAGGTGACAATGATGCTGAATAAAACCTGACCCAAGGCCACGGTGACACCAGCCACATTTTAATAGCCCTTTGGAATCAGACGTGGCATGAGAGACAGTGAACACATGAGCTTCGTGCATGGGGGGAGGAATGGCTGTCAGCCCTGCTATCGCAACCCGGTAACCACAAAAGCAGGATTGGGTGCTGCTGTGCCCTCGAGAAGACTCTCTGGCACCCATGGCCTAGGCTCAGCCCGCAGCCCCAGATCAGAGTGAGGCCTTGAAACCGCCCCCTGGTCTCTGTGCCCCCTCTGCAGCCATTTCCACCCCCAACTGTGACTCTGTGACTCAGCAGGCAGTTTTGATGACATGGTCCCCATCTCATACACATGCCCCACTCTGAGCAAGCGCAGGATACAGTATGTGTCCCAGGGCAGCAGCCAGGCTCCTGCACTCCCTCCAAACCTGCTTGCTGCCCGAGCTGCCCTCTTCCTTCCAGCTGGACTCCGCCAGGCCCAATATCATTGAGCTGGTCCCACCTACTGCTCTCCCACGATATGAAAGAAAACATTCAGATCAAGGTTGAACTATGTGACTCTTAAATTCCAACCTTGGTTGGAAGGGGCCTCAGAGGATGCCTAGCTCTCAGCAAGACAAGAACATCTGCAGGTAAGATCACTTCTTGTGTGTTGTCGGAACCTTCCAGATGGAGCCCCTCACCACATATTTCATCAGCTAACCTGTACCCTTGTCTCTCCTTCATTCACTCTCTGCCTCAAGCCACAGACAGGTCTGAGCACACTCTTGCCCCAGGACCTTTGCACCTCCTCTTCCTTGGGTGGAACACACTTACTTTCCTCTGACGTTTATTTGCTGCTTTTTAAAAAAAATTAATTTATTTATTCATGCGAAACAGAGAGAGAGAGAGAGAGAGAGGAGAGAGAGACAGGCAGAGGGAGAAGCAGGCTCCATGCAGGGAGCCCGACATGAAACTGGATCCCAGGTCCCCAGGATTATGCCCTGGGCTGAAGGTGGTGCTAAACTACTGAGCCACCCGGGCTGCCCTATTTGCTGCTTTATTCATCAATTTCTTTATTTTTTTAATTTATTTTTTATTTTTTAATTATTTTTTTAATTCATCAATTTCAACACAAATGTCACCTCCACAGAAGCCTGCCCTGATTCCCTGCCCAAGCACAGTTAAAAATGGCAAGAAAAGCTCTCCACTGGTCTTGCTTCCAAAACAAAGTACACTACGCAGTACTTTACAAAGCTTTCTTACCAAACCCCTACTGTCTGCCTGGTGAAATAGGCAGGATGCTACAGATGAGGAGGGTGAAGGCTGGAGAGACTAAGGAAACTGCCCAGGGATCAGAATCACCTTGGCGGCACCACCACCTGTCACCCACCATCACGCTCATGGAGCATGCACACAGAAGACTTGCACGTTCTCCAAGTGCCCAAGCGTCTTACCAGCACCGTGCTCTCCCTCTGCCCTCCACCTCCCTCCTCCCAATCCAGCCTGTGCTCCTCTGAACCCCACACGGTTACATGTGGAACCACCAACCACTTCCTCCACGAGCCTCTGTGCGGCATGTTTCCTTAAGTATATAGGAAACCAATTCTCTGGAAAACAACTTATCCTTGTGTTGCCAACATATTCTCTACCACTTCTCCACCTGACCATGGGCCTAACCATTCAGGCAGGAACCATGTTCAATCTGTGCTGAGCCCCACCCAGAGCCGCAGGGTGCAGCCGTGCTGATGGCACCCAGTGCGGTGACACAGCAGAAGCACCCTTTCCCACTCCCGGCACCCCTAGAGCTCACCTGACCAACTTCATGCCGTGCGCTCTGCAACGACAGCCTCATCACCTCTTGCATCTTGTGTAGGACTCAGTGTTATTTTTTTTTCTTTTAAAGATTTTATTTATTTATTCATGAGAGACACAGGCAGAGGGAGAAGCAGGCTCCATGTGGAGAGCCCAATGTGGGACTTGATCCCAGGACCCCAGGATCATGCCCTGAACCAGAGACACTCAACCGCTGAGCCACCCAGGCATCCCCAGGACTCCATGTTCTACAAGCCCACTGATCCATGTGATCCCATTTCAGCTTTACGCCCAAGCCTGCGATGTGACTGTCACCCCTCCTACTTTACAGGCGAGAGAAAAGAGCGCCAAGGCCCCACAGGGTA